CAGAGACAAGGGAAGGAGGAGGATGGTCAGCGCAGAGACAAGGGAAGGAGGAGAGGCTGGGAGGACAGCACAGGAGCCAGGGCAGGAAGACCAGCCAGGCGGGGAACGGCCCCCACAGGTGTGGACAGGCTTCTGTGATGGTCAGCGCAGAGACAAGGGAAGGAGGAGGAGAGCCTGGGAGGACAACCCAAGCTCTCTTTACTCCTGACTCTGAACCAAGCAATGACTGCAGTCTGGAATTAAGAAGGGGTGGACGGTAAGGTCTCCAAGATGCTGAGTGCTGTAAGAACAGGAGCCCACTGACAGACCCCGCAACCATGAGGAAATCAGCTCTGAGCCTGGACCTTGGAAAAGCAGATGCCCCCAAGCACAGGCATTCTCCCCCAAGGAGGGCCAGGCAGCATCTGAAGAAGTTCCGGAACAGTGCTCAGGCACCGCCCAGGGGAGAAAAGAACCCTGAACTTAATATTGGTGCCACGTTTTGTTGGCTTCCTTGACCAGGGCTCCCTCCCGCAGCAGACTTAGCGTCTGTGATGCCAACAGAGGTTTGCAAAGACTCACCCCACACCCCAGGGCATGACCCTCAGAAACGTGGTCACAACGAATAAACAGAACCTGAACACAAGGCTCCTGCATCCTGGCCTCAATCGATACCATTTGAGGCTCGTCACCAAGAGCCTGGGGAAGCAAAATGTCACCATCTTGTTCAAGCCTCATGAGATATTTGTGAAGTCCACAAGATAACACTGTTGTCCACTTTCACAGGCAAACAAATGGAGGTCAAATTCCCAGGAGCACAGCCACCGTGTTGGAGCCTCTCTGCCCCTAACCCTGGGCTCACGGGGCCTCACCTGCCTGCTGGTTTGACATTTTACCAGTGACTTAGATCAAGTCAGGAAAAGACCTGGATTAGTAGCGGACAGGAAGCTAGAAGGAACAGTTATAGGGTAAAAGTAAGAAGCAGCTTCCAACCATCCCAACAGCCAGCAGGTGGAAAGGAGCCAACTGGACATACAGGGCTGAAGGCACCCATGGATGGGAGTGCAGGAGGGTGAGGCCCTGGCTCTGGCCCCACCCAGAGACCCCTCACAGGGGACCTGCAGAGCAAGCCCAGGTGGGTGGCCGGGTTCTCTGGTTGAGACTTTGGCAGGCACATGCCAGGGAAGGGACAGGGGGTTGGGTGGGCCCTGAAAGGAGGTGGGCCTCCCTCCAGACCAGGGTCCATGCTATTGCCCACGTTCGTGACTGCCTGACAACGGCCCTTGCCTCCCACATTCTCCTTTGAGAGGCAGACATGGGGCTGGGGTCTGGAAAACTGGGGAAGGGGAAGACTTATGTGAGTCCGAGTCCCTGAGAGAGACAGGAAGCAGATTGTCCACCGAGTATGGGCAGTAGGTAGGGAGTCACCCCGCTTGCCAAGAACAAGACTCGGAGGATGGGCTGGCCAGGGGCCAGGGCCAGGTCCCCCAGCCGGTAACTGCGGCCTTGGGCAAGTTCCTGAGACTCGGGCCTTCATGTGGCACCTGCTTCACAGACTCACCTGGGTGGCGGGAGTGCTAAGCAGATGCATTCCGTATGGCCTTTCAGAAGCCCCCTTATTGCTGCCATATGTCCTGCCTCAGAACCTCTGGGGCCCCAAGCAGGCAATGCTCTGAAGGGCACCCCATGTACCCACTCCTCTCCCTCGGTTTTGGGCCCTTCCCCGGGGTGAGGGAGGTGTAGACAGGACAGCCAGGAAGGAGCAGCTCCTGGTGCGTCTGGGCAGCAGTGGCCCTCAGCTGGTGTAGCCTGCTCTCTTGACACAGGACAGCATCTCCACAAACAAAGCCCTGAGCAATCTCAAGCGGTGAGATCAGATGCCTTTGGGGAGAGCAGGGCAGGGGCGGCTTCGTGGGTGTTCACGCCACAGCCGAAACACTGGTGAGTGCAGCAGACGTCAGACTCTGTTCTGTGTGCCCCAGAAACTACCCTGCAGCTCTGCCCCCGGGAGGTCCCCAGGGCAACTCGGGGCATCAGCACACGCATGCACACGCGTGCACGCACACACACACAGACACACACAAGGGCACATGCAGTCCCAGAGACACTGGGAAGACCCCTGCAGGACTTGGGGAGGCAGGCGCCTTCAGTTCTGTGACTCATTTCACTCACCTGAGGATCCTGTCTGAATTGGAGCTATTCTTGGAAGGATCTCCCGTTTGAGGCTGTTGCTTCTCATGAGATTTGGCTAATTTTTCAGCAGCAGCGATGGGACACCCAGACAAACTAGAGAAAAGGCAAAGAGGACAGCTAAGCCCTCTCCTCCAGACCCTGCCTGTCCAAGCCGGGGACCCCGGAAGCACCAGCCAGAGTGTCTCTCTCACTCTGTCCTCGAGCCCGCAAACAGCAGCTGCACAGTCAGTTTCTGTCCAGGGAAACTCCAAGCAATGACACACAAAAACCAAGTATATCCTAAATGCCTTCACAGCTTTGGGCAAAGGCACCTCCTCTGGGCAGGTCTGGGCAATGGGCCTGCGGATCACCTCCCTGCCCTCCCCTCACTGCTGACCGGAGCTGCCCTCGGGACCTGTCTCTGGCTCTCGCTCCATCAGCCAACCCGGGGAAGCCCAGGGTCCCACAGGCCACACAACCTGGGTGCTGACCCTGGAGGCCCAGGCCCCTCCCAGGAAAGGACCCCGTCTAATACATCAAGGGAGCAACTTCATCTGTCAGAATTAAGCTGACTGACTGCTGGCGAGGTGACAGTCCCAACCCCACTCAGGAATCTAGCCTCTTCTCAATGAAGGGGTCTCAAAAGCTCTAGCAGCCTTTGCAAGGACATCCCATCACAGCCACGGTACCCAAGGGGCTCCGGGCAAGCGTGGGGAATATGGTCACCTCTCACTGTGCAAGATGGCAGAGAGCTAAACCTTGAGTGCCTCCCAGGAGTCTCATGTCTATCTGGGCCGCGGCACCCACAGTCTAGCCCAGAGCTTGGTCCTGGCCGGCAGAGGCCCGCCATGAGCAAAAGTCAGTGTGCAGAGGCTCCCCAAACATCAACAGGACTCACAGCCTGCACCTGGCTTTCCCCAAGGGCAGGAGGCCTCTCTGAAGGGCATATACCCATCCCTCCAGCTGCCCTCTGGTCTCTAAGGAAACCCCCCAACAGAGACCACACCTCTGACCCCCCACCAAGAGGCCTGCCCCTGACCTGGCACCCATCCCAAGCCGGGGCACACACACGAGGCCCAGCCCACCCCACCACGGCCCTCGCCATGCCTGGCTCCCCTCAGTACCTTCTGTGCGTGTTGCGGTTGCTGTTCACGTGGCCTTGGCCTGTACAACCAGGAGTCGGGCACTTGAGCACATTCTCATGCATAGCCAAGACTGTAAGAGAACCAGAGGGAGGGACAGGTGAGCACAGCCCAGGAAGACGTAGGAGCCCCATCTGAAGTCTGCAACTTTGTAGGAGGACGGCAGCTTCGAGCAGCAACCCGGGAGGGCCCGCAAGCCTCAGCCCTGTCAGGCTGTGCTCCCTCCCACTGTGGCCCCCTGCCTCCCTGGGGCAGAAACCAACTTGGCCTCAAACCCTCTGGTTGTTCTGTGATTTGCCTTTGAAATGCATGTTCACAAGCACTGCCTCTAGCCAGAAGTGAGGACAGGCTCTCTCCTTGTGCCCTTCGGAGCACAGGAGGCTGGCTCTTCCCTCGCAGGCCTCCTGGGGGCCCTGACACGGGCTGCTGTCTCAAGGTGGGTAACTGGGCACGCTGCATGTCCCCAGCCTCGTAGGACTCAAGTTTGGGCATCTGCCAATCAGAAAGGGACAGGGCCCTGGGTGACTCCTCCTCCATGTGAACACCATCCAAGCAGCAGAGACGGCCTGAGCTATGCACAGCTACTCACTCTCCGGGGGGATCCTGTCCTTGTGGGGGCAACCAGACAGGCTTCGGTGGTGAGGGTACAGCCCTGTAACGTGGCCCGTGCCGTCACAGCCTGGTGTTGGACACTTGATCTCGCGCTTCTCAGCTCTTGAGGGATCTAAACACACAAGACACATCAGTTAGAGAGTAGCCAGAAAGCAGCGTTGTGGGTGGCAAGTGGGGGAGGAGGACGGGACAGCCATGGTTCTTCATTCACGCTGTCCAGAAGAGAGTGGCCAGACTGCCCAAGAGCCCGGGAGGGACCGGGGCTGGATAGTTCTGGGGAAGCTGGTCTACATCAGCCGTCCTCATGGAAAGTTGTCCCACATAACAGGATGTGCGTCATTTTAAAGAGGAGGACCCAGGTGGCAGCCGGCGCCCTCTATCCCTGCTCCTGTTGATATTGTGTGAATCCCGCTGGCTTCAGCGTGGGGGTCATGCCTCCAAGAGCCCCCATGCCTAGAGGTCCAGCCTCTGCACAGAGTCGTGAAAAATGGGACAAGTTCCTTGCCGGGATTTGGATTTGGATTTAACAAAACGAGGAGGACAAGAAGTTAACTTGCCAACAGCCGCGTGACTAATAAATGCATGGGCAGAAATTTCAACTCAAATCTCAGTTGCTGACCTCATCTAGCCTCCTGGGCCAGGAGATGTCACTACTGGGTGTGGGGGCCAGAAAAGAACACCTGTCAGAGAACATCTGTCAGGACACGGATGATCCCCAGAGCAGAGCCGATGTCCCAGAGAAATTCCTAGGTGGAGCCGTCGCCTCTGGGAGAATGCAGAAGTCACACAGCCACGCTCAGAACTCCCACCCCAGGCAAGGCAGAAACCCAAGGGGGTTCTGAAGTGCAGGACCCCTGGCTCTGCATCTCCACGTTCAAATGGGCAGGAAGCTGGACGTTCACCAACCCAGCAGGCAGGGTCATCACCAACCCTTCCGCAACGCCTGCTTCCTGAACTGCTGTTGCCACCACACAGACCCTGTCTGGGGCTCACGCTGCATCAGTCCCTTGGTGTGAGCCTTGTCTCTCCCACTGCCCGGTGCTTCCAGCCCGGCCATCTGCCTCACCCTGAGGCTCTGTCCCCTGGGTCCATGCCCTCAACTCTATCCCTGAAGGCAGGGCCCCCAACGTCTGTTCCCACAGGTCTGAGTCCCCCAAACACCTGGGCCTGGGGCTGTCACTCTGCCTGTGTCCCCCAGCCATGCACTCCTCAACAGTGTCCCACTGATGTCTGCCCTGATCTGTGAGCCCCAAGCCCACCACCTGCAGACTGATACCCCACACAGGCCCCAACACCTGTCCTAAATTTTGTCACCTTTACTTGGGTCTCCGTGCATCTGTGTCCCCTCAAGACCTTGCCGGTCTGAATTGAACTCTCAAGCAGCTGTCCCCCATATCTGTGCCACCCTAAAAGGGGGTCCCCTTGACAGCTATCCTCCAGGTTGAAACAATGTCCTCATCTGTGTCCCCTCAGCTGTGTCCCTCAGTATCTGCCCCAAGCCTGTCTCATGTGAGTATCCCCAGGAAATCTGTGCCCTGTGTCCCCACCTACCTACCAACTGGGCTTCCCCAGAGCTCACTCAGGTCTCTCCATGACCCAGATATGTCCTCCCAGGGTCTGCCTGTGTCTCTCCATGACCACGCAGGCCCCCAGGAAATCTGTGCCCTGTGTCCCCACCTACCTACCGACTGGGCTTCCCCAGAGCTCACTCAGGTCTCTCCATGACCCAGATATGTCCTCCCAGGGTCTGCCTGTGTCTCTCCATGACCACGCAGGCCCCCCGGGCTGTGGCTGTGCTCCCGGAACCAGCTCACTGTCCCTCCCACCCTCCTCCTCCCACCTGGAGCTCTGCTTCTCTCTCTGGATCACCCTATGTGAGCAGTGTGAGCCCGTTTCCTCAGTACCAACAGCCAGTCTGTGGCTGTGTGTATGTTTGTCCTTTGTCTGCACCTGCCAGCCCTGCCTCCAGTCTGTAAGGGCCTCTGGCCATGCCTCTCACTCAGCCTGCTTCTCCATGCCCAGTGGGGACAGGGAGGCGCTACCCATCTCTGGATGGAGGGAGGAAGGATGGGTGTGCAGGGCCCGGCCGCCAGCCCTACCTTTGCTGCAGTAGTTCTTCCGGGCAGCATCCAGGGGCCTCACCGCCTTCCCAGGCTCACCGGGGCCCAGCTGGCCCTGCTCGGTGGGTGGGCAGCCTGGCTCGCAGACGGCTTGTACCTGCTCAGCCTTCAGGGCAATAGCCTGCTCCAGGAGGCCCAGGTTCCCACGTGTCATCATGTCATACATCTCCGACTCGTCCGTGACCGCAGACTTCTGGGAGCGCGAGTCTTCGTCCTTGCCGTCATCAGAGTGCACCTCCACTATGACAGAGTACTCGGGCTTGGGGCTGGGAGAGGCCGGATGCCGGAGTTCGGGGGCCTTCTGGGTGGGGGCAAGGGGGGCATCCTCCTGGCAGATGACCTCAGGAGCGGCTACCTCCTCCTCCTCCTCCTCTTCCTCCTCTTCCTCCTCCTCCTCTTCCTCCTCCTCTTCCTCCTCCTCCTCCCCCTCCTCCTCCTCCTCCTCCTCCTCCTCCTCCTCCTCCTCCTCTTCTTCCTCCTCCTCATTACCCAGGGCGACTTTCATCTTGCTGGACTCCTCACTGGCCACACCCTCCACGGACTGGGGGCAGAGCTCCTGGGAGCGCTCCCTGGTGACTCCCGCGACTTCCTCTGTATCCTCTGGGGGGAGGAACACGTCCTTCTCCCCCTCATCACTGGTGGCCCCTTCCTCAGCCTCCTCCTGAACCAGGTGCACAACACCTGGGCCCGGCTTGGCCACCTGGCCCAAGTCCTCCCCAACTAGGGTATCTACAGCGATTTGGCCCAAGTTTAAGAGAGAAGTGGCGATGATCTCCTGGTAGCTGCTGTAGCTGCCCTTGGCGGGGCCCGCGGAGCTGCTGATGGGCTTGGGTCCGAAGTGGGGCTTGACAGGGGCCCTTCCTGCACAGAATCAGAAAGACGTGGGAGGAGCACAAGGGGCACCCTGCCCCGACACAGCCTGGGGAACACAAAACCCCCGGAGAGGGAAATGTGTCGGCTGTGGCAGCCCCCCTGCCTGGAACTTGGAGACGCCATGAACTTGTTTTAGGGGGGGAAGGAGTAGAGTCACTACTGTGTTTGAAGCTGAGAAATACTCTGATATTTGTCACTAATGGTCCTCCCCTTTAGGGCTACTTTCTCAAATCAGGTAAACCTGCATTTCATAAAACGGAACTTAAAGAATACAACGGATTTTAAAAATTGCTTCACGAACGCAAAGCAGAAAACGAATTTATGTTTTTAAAAGACACAAATTTATACCTCTTAACTGCCATGACTATGTTGTAGTGGGTGCTCACCACACACAGGCCCTGTGGGATGGTTGACAAGGACGCCCAGGGTGCAGGAGCCAGCCTTCCCGTCCGCCCATTCCAGGAGGGGACCAGCCGGGGCTGGTGCCCAAACCCCAAACTCCCTCCTCTGTAAGAAAGCGGGCAAGCTAGTCCTTTCTCCCTAGAGCCCATGGGGCCGCACACCACTTCAAGCATAACCAGAGACCCCCCAGGAGGAAGCAAGTGTGAGGACTCTCCCTAAGGATTGGCTCCTAAATAAAATAAAAATCCATCTCAGACCCTGCAAGGTCAAAAGACACAAGCACCTTGGGGGCCCTGGGGCGTTGGGACCTCAGGTCTCAGTCACACCCTCAGGACTGTGAAGTCTGCCAGACTGGGGGGCACATGGACACTTCCCTCCAGAACCTGGGGCCACTTTTACACCAGCATTTGCCAAAGTCTGGGTGCCCCCCCAGGGAAGAAAGTGCAGCAGGGAATCCCTTCGGTTCCCCATCCCACCCCAGGCTTCCCTGGATGCCCCCAAACAGTCTCACCTGATGCCAAGCAGACCCCTCACCCCCACCCCCAGCTGCTCTTCCCTGGGGCCAAGTGGAGCGGGGGCGGTCTGTCTGAGACCCCCTCCCCCCATGCACGGACGCACAGCCCATGTCCATCTGTCCATCCATCTTTCCCATGCACACAGACACACATCCACACTCACACACACAGTGTTCACAGAGATGCGCCCACAGGCCCCTCAAACGCCCTGTACCAGCCCCTCTCCTGGAAGCCCCAACAAATGTCAGGACAAGACCTCGCTTGTTCTCAGGAAGGGCTTCCTCGGCGGCCCTTTCACTGACTCGGAATGGGGCCCCCTCCCCACTCACAGGCTGCGATTCTCCAGGGCCACACTAAGCGCCCTTTATTTCGGGGGAGAAAGAGCCACAAAGCACCTTCAGCTGGCTCAGGACGATGAATCTCCTCCTGTCCTGACATTTCAGCCTCGTCCTCCTCCAGAGTTCCTTCCGATTCATCTGAAACAGAGGCGTCCTTCACCTCGGCGTCCTCGCTGCCATCGGTGTCCACGCTGTAGCCCTCGTCCAGAGCCAGCTTCAGGGGGTGGGACTTCCGCGTGGATGCCAGGTGCTCGGCCTGGGCCCCCTCCAGCTTCCTCTTCTTGGCCAGAGGGCAGCTCTGCAAACTGGGAGGAAGGGGACCAGGGCCACCCTGTCAACACTCTCTGGGAGTCCTCCCGCCCGCTCTCCACCCTCGGCAGCCGCGTTCCCTGCTGTGAAAGCTTGTCTTTACATCTCATCACTATCCCTCAGTTAAAAGCCCCACATTCACGACAGGCAGGTTGATGTGCTTAACAATTTACATGAATTGTCCACATTAAAAACTCGTGATGTGCTTTAAATTACATCTTGTTCTTCTCTCATAAGACCTAACTTCAGAGGCTCTGTCCACACCATTCCCCCTGTGGGGAAGAGGAGGGCACTGGCGCTCTGTCAGACCCAGCCCACTTCCTCCCACCAAGCAGGTCATCAGGATGCCCTGGGCCCTTCCTTCTCCACCTCCAGACCCTGCACACCCTCACCCACCCGCAGTCAAGCTAAACTGCCACCCCCCCCCCAGGATGAGAACAGTGACGACCAAGCGGCAGCTGATTGGGGTCACCCCGATGCGTGGCAGGTCTGCTCTGAGCTCTGCCCCACGGATTCATCCGGCCTTGCAGCCCCCAACAGAGAGACCCCGGGTTGACACGCCATGGCCGTGTTGGCCTCAGCAGCCGCAGGCACAGTTGAAATGTTCTAGATCTACAAAAGGGCCCAGAGAGGGAGAGGGGCTCCAACACCTCACAGCCCAACCTCTCTCCCAGGAACCTCCTTACCTGCGGTGCCTGGAGTACTTGCCCCGGATGTGTCCTGAGCCAGTACATCCTGGGGTGGGGCAGCTGGGGGGAGGCAAGCAGGGGTGGTCACTTGGGGGAAGGACCCACCCACCCCAGACCCTCACCCTGGGGAGCAGGAGATTGTCTCCAAACAGTGCATCTCAGAATGGCTGCTTGCAGTTCACTAAAAATTAATGAAATATCTCACCCCATTTAAATAAACGAATGACTCATTACAATTTTATGAGTGTGTTTAATTAAAGATCTGTATGTATGAGATCAAGACTTCCAACATCGGTGTCTCCTAGACGGCTTCTTTTCTCTGTGGATAAGTCTTTCCCACTGCTGGCAAACTGCTGTCAGGCTTCCAAGCAGCTGGGAAACAGGAAGCTCTGTGGAGTGCCCAGAACCAGCACCTGAGGCTGGCCCGCGGGCAAAGTAGGCCATCTCTGGTGCTTTGAGGCCTGCAGCCCCTGCCAGGCACACCCTTGGCCTGGCAGAGTGAGCAGGTGCCTCCAGGCAGGAACGGCTCAATGTAGACATGCAGGCCTGGCCCAAGCTACAGGACTCCTCCAGAACCAGCAGCCTGGTACAGGGAGGTGAGGCCAGGTGGGCTGATGACCCAAGGGCTACCCATAGACGTGGCTGGGGGAGCTGCACGGGGATGAAGGCGAGGCCCCCAGGAGTTCCTCACCCTCCACTGTCATCTGTCTCCCCACTGAACCAAACCACAGAAAGCCCTGGAAACTTCTGATCATGGGCACAGGGTATGCCACCCAATCCTGGAGTCCACTCCATGCAAGGCCAAGATCCTGTGGGCTGCTGGGCACGTCCACGGACCACAGACAGCAAGAAGCGGACATCACCTCCTGTTCCAGAGTGGCAAGCTAATGCCCAGAGAAATGGGAGAACACATGGGAACCTCTTCCCATCACTGGTGCCCCCTCTTTGGAGGGGCCATCCCAAGGTGCCCAAGATGGGAAGACCTTGTTTTTAACAGGATTGGCATCACAGGGTCTGAGCTCCCCACCTCAGATCAGGCTCTCCCAGATCCTGCGAGGGAAGAACAGGGTGGGCCCCAGGAGGGGCAAGGCCCTTGACCTCTGGGTAGACACGTCTGATGGTTTCTAATTTGATTGATCACGTGCCTGACTGCAATGCACTGTGGGGCTCATCTGACTCATGGACGGTTCAGGGAGAAACAGGACAGTTGATGGAGGCAGAGCCCCACCCACCCTGAGCTCAACAGCAGCTTTTGGGGGGAGCAGCGGTCTCCCTGCAGCCCTCCAAGCTGTGGCCACCATGGCTGATCTTAGGGCTGGTTTTCATGATTTTAAAAGGAAGAAAGGAAAGGAGGAAGGGAAGAGAGAGAAGAAAGGGAGGGAGGAAGGGGAGAGGGAGGGAAGACATGCCACATTTTATTGTGGATTTCCTTTCCAGACAGACAGGACTTACTGCTGCCCCGGGCCTGTCTATACTAAAATCGATGCCCCACGCTTGCTTTCTCTCTCTCAAGAGCTAGCTTTGAGACTCTTCACAAAAGGTCCTTGTTACTGGGGATTTGAAGCTGAGGTCCAATTAGCCGATTAATCACTGAGTTAACCAGGCAATTACGTAACAGCTGCTGTGGAGCCCTGTAGGCCACGGGCACTGCCCCTAAACACGTCACCAGCTCCGAGCCACACCTCCAGCCACCAGTTCACAAGAGTCCTGGCCTCCAGCCCAGGCGGCAGCAGCACAGGCCGAGAGCCCACACGTCTGGAGCAGGTGAGGACCACTGTGGGAGAGGAAGCTGGAGCCCCCGCACTCCTGCTTTCCACGACGCGGCGACGGGAGACCTGGCCGAATGCCCCACGGTTCGCACCGTTTCCCCTACAAGCGCACCCCGGGTGACATCACTGGTGTCCCCAGGGTCCTCAGGGCCAAAGTGAAGAAGCAGCACCAGTCCCAGACCTCAGGAGCCTCTTCCCAGCCTGGGGGAGGAGGCAGATGCAGCCAAACCTTCTCCCTGAACTCCCCCAGGTAGTTCCCTGAGTGTGGCAGAGACAGGAACATAGGCAGGGAGGCTTGCAGAGGGCCTGCTCACAGTCAGCACGGGGCAGAGTCCTGGTGACAGCTTTGGGGCACCTAACCATAAACAACAGGTGTCAAGGGAAGTCAAGGCCGAGGCCAGGAAGAACCAAATCCCAGCCAGAGCCCTGAACTCAGCTACCACCCCTCAAAGGGACTGACTTCCCTCCAGCCCCCTGGAGGCAGGTGGAGGACCCCCCTCCATTCCCATCTGTCCCCTAGGCAGGAGCTGGTCACTGGCTCAGAGGAGGCCCTCAGGTAAGGGAACCCGGATCCAGGTATGACAGATGGGCAACTCTCCTCGAACTTGGAGACAACCCTGAAGGTGCTCTGGAAGGGGTCCGGCGGCTTGCACCTGCAGAGGAGGCAGGTGCCTCACCTTCCCACTAGCCAACACCTCCGAAAGGGCCACTCCAAGGTTGTGTGGCAGCAGATGGTCCCAGACTAAGACACAAATGGAAGTGTCTACCGGTTATTCACTGATGCAAAGGAAAAACCACCAGGTCCGTTTGCTATCTCTTGGGCACTCGGTGTTAAATCCAGGGCACAGAGAAGCTACGTGGGCTCCAGAGGTGGGAGAAGGCAATCAGAGCCCTGATTGCTCCTGGTCAGCCTCCTGCTCAGCTCAGCTCCTAACAACCACCATGCCACTACCCCAAGAGCAAGCAGCTTCCTGGGAGCCTGCTTGAGCTGGGGAAAATACAAACTGGGGCAGGGGACAGTGGCCAAATTCTGGGACAGGGAGGCAACCGTCCCTCATCCATGGAGCAAGTCCCACAGTAGAGCTTCACCCTAACTCGGCTCTCCCTTCCAGTGATTCTGCATAAGTTTATCTAACATCATGACATCCTGCTCCAGGTCATGTTCTCCCTGCACTGACGCCCACGGTGTAAGCCTCACCGGGACAGGGCAGAGGCACCGGTGAGCTGGGGAAGACAGCCCGGCTTGCGGTGTCTGTCCGTCCTCACGGCATAGAGGTGCCCCTGGGGCTGATGTGCGCAGCTAAGGAGTGAGAAGCACGAGCGCACCACAGATCACAGCCCCAGGCGTAGCTCACGGCCCGCGAGCCGTGGGGACACAGGAGTGACAGGCACCTTCCAGGCAGGACATGTGCGATTCTTTGGCATAGACTACTCCACTCAAATCCAAGCAGCCATTCCCCAAAACTTGAGGAATTGTTGAAGATCTTGTTGCTAAAACATTAATGTCAATGCATTCATCCCTAGTTTCTCCATTAAAAACTGTAACAGTCTCACCATTACCGAGGAAGTAGGTTGAGACCACACGATTACTGAAGGTGCTCATATAATCCTCTCATGGCTGGATCCTCTCTGAGAGTATTTCAAAACAATTCTATCTTCAGAGTCATTTTTGCTTCTGCTATTTCAAAATTATGAGAGCAAGCTCTTTGGATCTGCCTTTGCAAGTTCCTCCATAACTTTATCTGTTGCCAAAATTAATTGCTGTTACCAAAACCCAGAGCTTCCTCGAGTCCTATGCCCAGCCTCCTCCCCTTCACTGTCCTGAAGATGTCCTCTGCTGAGCATCACATGCCCAGGGGAAGTGGCGCCTCCTCCTGGAAGCCTTCTCTCCCCTCCGGGTGTCCCCAGCCCCTTTAAGCATCCACTGGTCCACCCGTCAGAGGGCGCCTCCCTTCCAGGGACGGTGTTCTGCAGAGCTTCCAACTGGCCTTTCCACCCTCACCCTCGCGCCCTCTGACCTGGGCTGGGGCTTTGAGCAGTACATGTCTGATCCAGCTCTTCTGCTCAAACTGGAACCCTCCAAGCCTCGGTTTCCCTTCACCAATGAGGTAACAATAGCACCAGGCAGTGCCTCCTGAGAGCAAAACTGGGCTGTGCAGCCACTGTAGAGCCCGTCACAAGCCTGAGCACCCGGCCTCCCTCTGTGCCCCTTCCCTTCTGTCCCTAACTTACAGCCTCAAAGGTTAGAGGGACGTTGGGACACTCTGGGCTCCTCTCACTGTCCTGATTGGCAAAAACCAGCCATCAACAACTCTGGTGAAGAATGAGACGGCCCTGGCCCCAGACTTCTTCAGTTTGGTGAGAATCTTTCCCCCTGAGAATTAGGAAGCCCTGAAGCTCCAGATGCGTGCAGTGTCACAGGAAAGGCTACTCCAGGCTGGGGGCAGAGGGCCCTCAGAAACTGGAATGTTCTGTGTGTCCCCAGCTAGGAGTCCAGAAGCTCACAGAAACCCCACTGAGGTGTGGTCGTCCCTCTTGGCCCCTCCACGTGGGCAGAGCACCACACCAACGAAGCCCTTGCCAGCCGTCTCGGGATGCTGGGGGCTGAGGGCTCTGTGGTGTGCTCTGTGGGAAAGAAGGTGGGCTTGGAGCCCTTCTGTCCCCCAAGGACAAGCCTCTGGCAGGTCGGCTCTGCTGCAGTCCAAGCCTGGCTTCGTCTTGTGGGGAATTTGTGACAATTAAAGGGGGCCCCTGATGCCCACCTGACACGCTGGGACCCTCCACGAGCACCACTTCCCTTTCTCCTTTCCTGTTAGAGCAGGAATACACTGGCACTCCCTCTCCTCAGAAAACAGGGGGATCTGAGGCTGGTTTTCCTTGTCGGTTACTGGACATCATCAGCACTGTCTAAGCAAAACAGCACCAAGAGCCTGAAGAGTCTGAAGTTTGAAGGTCGTGTGGGTGGTTCTTGGACAGCCCTGACACACCAGCCTGGGTGGGCTTTCTCTCTGGTCACCCCCCGCTCCAATTCCAGGGGCCAATCCCAGGACAGAAGCCAGCAGGTAAGGGCAAGTCGACCTGGCCCCTCCCGCTTGGACCCAGCAATCCCTACAGTGGGCTGTCCTCCCTTCCTCCTCAGGATGCTCATCCCTGGTGAGATGTGACCTAGAATCTGCAAAGTCACAGAGCTCAGCCATTGGAGGTCACCAACACACCAACCACTGTCAGCACCTGGAGTCCATGGACGACTAGGGACCTCGGCAGCCTGTTCTCTCATCTCTGGCCAAATGGGGCTTCCGGCCACCAGACACAGAAGCCTTTGTGAGAGCCCCCTAATACAGCACCTTGTTGTTGGCTGGGGACCATGGTGACAGGCAGGTCCTGGTGGTGACCAGGGGCCAGCACATCGGTGCCCCTGTCTCAAGGCTGGCTGCGTGGTAGGGCCGAGACAGAGGTGGGAGAGGGCAGAGGCAAGGTGAAGACAGTGGGACTCATGGCAAGGAGGAAGGGGGTTCAGGAGTTCAGTTGGGCAACACAAAGTGCCCCATGTGGGACATTTGGGGTGTTCGGGGGTCACAAGCATGCGCAATGCTGGGTGCTAGCAGAAAGCCTTTCTTACCTGAGGTCGGCACCTGTGGGCTCTGGGGGCACTGGGTGAGAGAAAGAGAGAAACAGGGAAACACATGTGGGAGTCCGAACTGAAAAGGCACATTGTCCTCATGGCACAGATGGAAAAAAGCGGAGGCAACCCCAGTGAAAACTGAACCCCATCCTTTCCTGACCTCCTGGAATGTCCTGCAGGGTCCAATGGAGTGAGCTGCCACCTCTCCCCCGATGCTTGCACCAGACTCCCCGCGAGAGGCTGGTGGTTTTGCAGAGTGGGTCAGGTGCCCCGACCTAATGCCGGCTCTCCTGGCCTTCAGGGCCAGGACAGTATCTCGTTCTCTAATTGCAGCTGGAAGTCAGCTTCCGACAGGAAACGTGACCCAGCAGATGAAGCTGGACGGAGAGAACCAAGCGGCTGGTCCCTGGTGATGGGGCCACTGGGGGTAAAAATGCACAGGGGTCCAACTGAGCCGCTCACCCGAGAAGCTCAGCGTTCTGGCCACTCCACGCACGGGACATGCAGCCATGGCCCAGTGTGTGCTTACGGTGTCAGGGAGGTGAGCCGGCCAAGGGATCCCCCCAGCCCACTGCCAGTTCCCTTCAGCACCAAGACTGACATCCTGGGAGGGCAGGAGTCTGTGGCAGAAGCCTGGCAGCATTTCAACTCCAAACAGAAAGGTCTCCTGACTGAGCTTTGCCTTCCCCACTCTGTGGAGCCGTCTGCCACCTCACCTCCACCCAGGCAGGTTTGTCTGGACCCCACAGCAGACCTCTCAGGCACCAGACATCATGGGCCCAAGTGCACAGGAGGTAGGAGGGGAGGAGCGCCCAGGGCCTGGTCATCACTGTGGGGTTCTGCTTTCCTGAGCAACGCAGCATTTGCTGCTTTAGGACCTAGGACTCACTGCTGGGAGGGGGCGGCACTCACCTCGGAGGGCCTTGGAGCGCGTGCGAGCCCGCTTATCTTCATTTTCTAAGCTCATCTGCAAGCAAGAACAACTGCGATGTTAACGGAGGCCAAACACAGAACCACCCCAGAGGGCTGCACAGGGCCTGCAGCTGAGCTGGCCACGGTGAATCTGTGACACAGAAAGACAAGGGGTGGGCTCGCAGGAGGAAAAGACCTGAGACCCGGGGGCAACAGGCCTGGGTCAGGTGCTTCAGGGGGGAGACCACGGCTCCTGGCCCTATTCCCGGCCCTGCTCCTGGCCCTTGCGCTGCCCCCACGTTTCCACCCCCACAGGAACCTCAAGCAAGAGCCCTGCCCCACCTGCTGGATCCTCGTGGATGGTAGGATTCTTGGCACATGGTCTCCTGGCAAGGCTGAGGAGCACCACCCACTGCTCACTTGGGGGTGCCAACCGCTCATGCTTCATGGCAGGTCACCAACTGGGCCCCAGAGCCTGGCTTCCCACTGGAGTGAGTGCCCCACCACACTAGGGTCATCCTCTTAGAAACAGACGGACGGGACCCGAACGGGCCTCCACAAAGTGTCCAGAAAATGAATGACTTCAATTTCTACCACGTGCCATCCTGGAGGGAGCCCAGGGACAGGCGGCCTGAGCTCAGGAACCAGACCATCCCTAACATGAGACGGGACGTGCTCACGGAGTGTGTGTTCCCAGAAGTGAGGTACCACCACCCAGTGGGAACAGAACGCAAGTCAGCACAGTGCTTTCAATGTCCTGGCAGCCTCATTACAAATGTAAAAGGACACATGATGTGGATTTTAGTACTAACCCTTACCTAGCCCAATCTACCCAAAACATTATCATTTCAACAGTAATCAATGAAAAAACTGTGAGTGGGATGCTGTTTTGTGCTAACTCATAGAGACCCTGCATGTCTCCTGAACTCACAGCACATCTGAGATCGGCTGGCCACATGCCACGGGCCCGTGGCCGTTGTGCTGGACAGTGTGGCTCTAGGCGTGGGAAGCAGTCTCAAGTGGAAGCCAGCTTCGGGCAAGAATGCAAGCCAAGGGGCGCCTGGGTGGCTCAGTCGTTAAGCGTCTGCCTTCAGCTCAGGTCATGATCCCAGGGTCCTGGGATCGAGCCCTGCATCGGGCTCCCTGCTCAGCGGGAAGCCTTCTTCTCCCTCTCCCACTCCCCCTGCTTGTGTTCCCTCTCTCACTGTCTCTCTGTCAAATAAATAAAAATCCTTAAAAAAAAAAGAATGCAAGCCAAGGGGCCATCTGGACAGGACACACGGGCCACCCTCCCAGGGATGTCACTTCTCCCAGGAGTGGGTGAGTGGGGCGTCCCAAGGGGGACAGGGCACCCCACACAGTGCAGACCCCTCACCTCCTCTGGCCACCCCACCTGAGCCCATCAGTGCACCCCACATTCCCTGCCCCTGACCAACTTCCATGGGGAACACTGTCCACATAGTCCTGTGAGGGAGTCAAAGAAGAACCCTCAGGAGGGTGAAGCCTGGGGACAAGAGTCACAGGGAAGCCCGAGGACGGGATGCCCCCTGGGGCTATAGGTCATCACATAGAATCTTGGACCTATGTCACCCATGACAAATCCGGGCAGATAGGTAATGAAGAGGTAGGGGGTAGGTGGGACCCCCCGAAGTGCTCCTTGTCTCTGAGGCCAGGTGGGGAGGGGCCTCTTTCTGGCAGGGTGTGTCCTGTGCATCCCATGAGCCCCACAGGGCTCACCACCTGTCCCTGTGGTCAGGAAGGGGAGGGAGCAATTCCATCTGTCCCAGGCCATAACCAAGGCTTGTCAAAGGCCAGGCCAGGCAGCAGGAGAAAGGAAGGAAGGGCAACAGAAGTGGGCTTTAGAGCCCAGAGACCTGCAAGAGACAAGTCTGAGCTCTGAGGTACAGAGGACCCGCCAAGGAGAGGAAGGGAATCCCCCCGATTAGGAAGATGAAATTTGCAAAGTGAACCTCCCCCACAGGCGGCACTAACATACAACGATTTATGTGATTTGTTAAGGAAGAAAAACCAAAACCTGGGGTAATTTATGCAACCTGTCGACCCCAGGCTGCAGAGCCCAGTGTCAGGGGCTGTGCGTTTATTACAGCCTTCCAATAGCACGGAAGACAATTACTATAATCTCTATTTTTAAAGCAGAGGTTCCCCGTGGACCAATGACTCACATTTAAAGTGAAGAGAGGGGCAGGTGTCAAAGGGACTTCATTACATTTATGAGCCTTCAAATGTCATCTGCACTGAGCCCAAGCGCAATGCCTTCCCATGTAGGCCGCACAATGGAGCTAATGCGTCTGATTGCCGGGCGCCTGCTTTCAGCTGAAATGCAATCTACAGCCTTTTTTTTTTTTTTGTCAGTTTTCCCAAGGAAATTGGCAATCATTCTGCTAGGTTAAAGCGTGCCTTGGCAATTTGGATTTCCTGCAGATAAATTATTCAAAGAGCACAGAATAGAGAGGGTTGCAGGGATGCGTAATGGGCGCTGCTTGCAAACTACGAGCTCCCATTGATGAAGCTAACAGCTGTGACATTCATTTTGCTGAGCACCTTTCCATTTGCAATTTATCTGCATCAAATGGTCAATAAGTGAGAAGTTCTCTTCAGGGCCTGTAGCTTTGATTTTAAAAGGGGGGAAAAAAAGCTCAACCATAGGAGGAAAAACAGGTTAGCTCTTTAATATGAGAATGAATCTGTGAGAGGGTGATGTAGGACATCAACAAGGAAGCGGGGAGACTTTGATTTCTGGGCTGTTTGAAAGGAGCAGTGGTGGCCTGCCTCGGAAGCATCTGGGCAGAGCTGTGGTAAAACCAGCTCCACTCGATGTCCGTTGTTTTCCTTCCTAGAGAGCTGAGAGTTCTTCAGAGGTGGGTTCTCTGATGGCCTCCCTCCCTGTGTTGTAGATGGAGAACCAATGCCCATACAGCCCAGCATCACCTGGGATCATGCTACTACTTGGCTTCCTAGCAGCCCCCCAGGGCCTTCTGTCCCTCACCACACAAAGGCAGGCCACTCATCGGTGCAAAGACGAGACACGTCCCAGTGTTTCACTGATTTATTTTTAAGAACCCTTCACTTGTTCCAAGCACAAGCCAACCACGTGTTTATTTTTGTACAGCCCAGAAATAACGGAATGGTCTCTCACCTGCAGGGCGAAAAGGCCCCCTTGTCACAGCCAAGCCAACCTCAATCCCCACTCTCACTGCGGGGCAGTGATCTCTCTCAAGAGCATCGTCTGTGCTCTGTCTCTGTGAGCCACCTTCATTCTGCCACCAGGAGCCTGTCTTACAGCTTCCCTGTGCTCCTTAAACCATCACTCCACTCTAATTAATATTTCAATAGTTCTGTCTTCAATGGGAAAACTATGGGGAGGAGAATCATTTACAAATGCAAATACACCCTGTTTTGCCACATCCATTAACCAGAGAGAATTGTCTTTTCATCCTTCCTTTTAACTTGCTTTGTTAGTGCCATATAATGGGTCTCACTCAAGGAGGTGTTACTATTTTGTTCTGTTTTGTATTTCTTTATAAAGTCAAGATTCATCACATAAGCTCTTTTTAAATATAAACGGTTCTCACAACATCATTCTACAAAGACCAGCCCCTTTTCAGATCCATCTGCGTAGCACCCTTGCCAAAACTGAGTTCCTAAGTTGGACATTTACAAACTTGGGGACCAAAAAAGCAAATGCAGTAATTATGCAGCCTTGAAACCCATAAATTTCTCTGGATTCTCAGAAATGCACTCAGAAGCCAGACACACAGTCAGGAAGAAAGCAGAGAGATAGACTCTCAATGTCCAAGAATGCCCAGTCCGAGATTTTTCACAAGGTATGTGATGAGGCCCAACAGACTTTGTGCCAATCTTTGCCTTTACCCTCAGAGGCCGGCTCTGCCTCCCGACCCCCCAACCCACCCCCAAGTTCAGGAACATCCGTGGTGGTCACTGGAGGGGTCCCCCTCCCCCCTCTCTCTCGTACATTCTCCTTCTCTCCCTCCCTCACGTCTTCTGGGCTCTTCCCAGGTCCTCACAGCTCCTCTCCACCCTATGCATGTCCCTGCTCTTCTGCATGGATGGCTAAGGGTGGGACAAAGAACAGAATTCATGCTGAAATTGTCCTGCCTCCACAGCCCCTGCAGGTGTCCTGGCAGGAGGCGTGCGGGCCTCAGTAGCCAGGTGGCAGGGTCCTCACCCTAAGGGAGAGCTCAGGAGGGAGGGCACTGTTCAGACTTGGGAGCCTGGGTGGGAGTGAGGAGGCTCAGGGAGTCAGTGAGGACCTGAGTGTCTTAGGGGTGATGGCCTCAGGGTGGGAGGTGCTCCAGTCCTGGGAAGCAGGAAACGTCCCTGGGTGGCCTCTCAAAAGTCAGGCCTGTGCCTCCCATTTCCCACCTTCTCCCCCTCACTCTCCATTCTGTGCCTGTTCATTTCCCTCGTGGTCCTCATCTCAATGTGAACACCCAGTCATGTTTTCAAGGTCACTGCCTCTCCTACAGGGCTTCATTCACTGCCCAGCACATATTCTGTAAGGACGGACAGACAGACCAACAGACGAATGGCGATACTTGGAAATGTCTCTGAGGCCCTGGAACTGGAGAATATGGCCAGGAGCAGTCAGAAGGGACTGAACAAATACCAGAGCCTGAAGCTGGGTGGGGGTTCCAGGCCCCCTGACCATGGGGGTCATTCATCTCAGCGCTGGGCTGGAGGAGGAGACAGGTTAGTGTTCCATTTTATTTAGAATGTGTTCCAACGGCTAGCAAAGCTGGAAAATTAGAATGAACCTAGGACAATTTTTTAAATCCACAAGATTATATGGATTATAGTGTCCCTGTGGGTGGGTTTCAGTGTTTTCCCTCCTGGAAGACCTAGACAAAGAGAGGGGGGCATCCACTGACTCCCAGGAGACCAAAGGCAAACCTGCCTAGGAGGAAGGGGTGACGTGGGATGAGGAGGGCAGAGGGACATAACAGGAGTGGCAGCAAACTGGCTGTCACCCACCCTGTTGGTGGCAACAGCATCTGCCAGTGTCCCCTTTCTCCAGGGGAGGGAAGGGTGGGGGAGGAGCAGCAATCTGGGTTTGTTGTATTCTCTCGAGTGTGCATAGCCAAGGGCGATGCCCACTTGCACACTACCACTAGGAAGCCCTTCCAGCAGACCCATGTTCCCACCACTGAAGGATTTAGGAGCAGCATTAAAATGTGTTCCTTCCTGCTTCTCCCCACCAAGCATTCCAGTGGAATCCTTCAGAGCCTTGCATCTCCAGTCCTAGATGCTGCCTGCCTGCACAACCTCCCTGGCTTCCCATTGTTTTGAGCACGTACCTGCATGCCGGATCAAGGTCAGCCCGAAGAGCAGCCTCCTTCTTCGAAGATGTATGAGTTCTACCACCTCAGGAACCCTCTGCACACATTCAGCTTTCCATTCCCTGATCTGTGATGCTAAACCGCATGCCCACAGCCCTGCTCCCCACCCATGGCCATCACAGCACCCCTGCTCCTTGAAATGATAGTTCTGTCCCCCTTTGGGGGGCATCCCACTGTGTCTCTGAAATTCTGCTGACATTCCACCCATTGTATGACCTACTGGCAGCTGAATAGAGCAGGCTTTTCCTTGGTTTGTAGAAAGGACACCCCAGGGAGCATTATTTAACACATGTCTTGGGAGGGGTTATCCTAACATCTCTGAGCAGGGGATTGGCGCTCACGCAAATCCCCAAATTAAAAATTATAGTTATATGGAGACAAACAAACAAACAAACAAAAAACCCAGAATCTTAACTATAGAGAACAAACTGGTTTTTGCCAGAGGGAACATAGTTGGTGGGATGGGTGAAACAGGTGATGGAGATGAAGAACACACTTATTGTGATGAGCACTGAGTAATGTACAGAATTATTGAATCACTGTATTGTACACCTGAAACTAATATAATGCTGTATGTTAATTGTACTGCAAATTTAAAATTAATTAATTAATTAATTTTTAAAAATTACAGCTATAGGGGCACCTGGATGCCTCAGTCGGTTGAGCATCTGACTCTTGGTTTCAGCTCAGGTCATGGTCTCCGGGGTCCTGGGATTGAGCCCTAAGTCAGGGGTCCATGCTCAGCGAGGAGTCTGCTTGAGGATTCTCTCTCTCTCTCTCTCTCTCTGACTCTGCCCCTCCCCCCACTCGTGTGCACTCTCTTCCTCAAATAAATAAATATTTTTTAAAAATTACAGCTATATTATAGACACTCTGATAAAGCAGCTACGTGTGGGTCCATCTGTTTAAAACTCCAACGTAAATGGAATTTCTACCTACCCAAGGGTAGAAATCTAGTCACATCCAGTGAAGCAGGCCAGAAAGGTCATGCACAGTGGTACCCCCTCCCTTGTCAGGAAGGACTGCTAGACCTCCATGCAATCAGCTCTCTCCTGGATTCATACCCAGAGTTCTCCATTGCTTACGTGATTGGAGCCCAAATGCTTCATTCTTAAGGTCAAGAAGTACTTTAAGGACCTACCATCAATGCCTACTCCTTTTCTCAAGTTAAAAAATAAAAATAAACAACTCAATGCCCAGCACTTTCCCCAAACACACAAGCACCTCCTAACGGCCCCTTCTCAGCCCGTCTCTGAGCTGTCCACGTCCCTGGTGCTGAAGGAGCAGGTGGTAAGCGCTATACTCCCATCACCCTCCAGACACAGAAGTCCACATCACCCACCAACCCCCATATAAAGTCAGTCCACCCTGGCTGTGTGATGCTCTGCTCTCCCATGGCCACCACTGCCCCCCTGCTTCGGCCTCCCCTAGCCTGCTCAGTGAGCACATACCACCTGGGCCAGCCCTGCAGTCCTTCTGGAAACCCACCCTGTCAAAGGCACATCTTCCCTCCTTCTCTGGCCTCTTAGCTTCTCTGCTCAGAACAGTTACTCAGGCCCTATCTGCCCAAACTAGAGGGAAGACTCTGTAATGGAGCAGTTGTTGCCTGGAAAGCCTGAGCACAGGCCACCAGGCTGCTCACAGCAGGTCCTGCACCCTCTGAGCTTGTCAGCCGGCGCTGTCCCTCACACACCTCCCACACTTGTCAAGACATGTCATCCAGAGCCCCTGACCTCAGATCAGATAACTCTTTCAGTCACAAAGTCTCTGTTTGAATGCTCAGCCCAGGGAAGAGATGAGTGAGGTATTCACCCAGGTGTAAATTTAAGGTGGGAAACAAAAACTCAGTGATTGAGATAACGGTTTAATGCAATATTTCAAAATAACAAAATTAATGCCAAAAATCCATGATGAACAAAATACCCAAAATTTAAATAAAGATAGGATTGGTACTACCAACTTTTCCTTTTGCCTCAGGCTCCAACACAGCAGAACACTGACAAGCCTACAGGAATGAAAGTGGGAGTGGAAGTGCTTAACCAGGTGCCAGTAGAAACCCATTAAAAAGAATATCCTAGTCACCAGGTTCAAAGGAAACTACAAACATCCTCAAATAAACTTGCTGCCTCAAACTTTCTAGCCCTTCCTGTCCACACCCTGGGCCATCACATCTGGGTGGCCATGCCCTGACTCATGGCTAGGATCCTTGATGGGGACCATCTCTACATGAAGGAAATGAGAGACTGGAATCTGAGGTCTGGAAAGGAATGCCCAAAGGCCTGTTTTCATCCCTACTTCCACCTCTGAGGGTCACCAGACTCTGGGAAGCCGGGATCACCCAGAGTGCATCCTGGGAGGTTCTAGAATTGGAGGTTGGGTGTGGCTGTAAGCACATGGCATGCCATGGGTTTGGGAGCATCTCTGGCGAGGCCATCAGTGAGTTCTAAGCAGGTACAAGAGGGCATGTGCCATTTGCCTCCACTTGGGAAGATGAAAATAAACAAAGTCAACAGACCTCATGAGCTCCTGCAGCCAAGTCTACCAAGGATTCTCAGTGGGCCCAGGGAACAGCTACGGAGGCAGCCCAGGTGTGACCAGACCCAGAGCAGGGACTTGCCCTGAGGTGACACTCTGCTGTCACATTGACTCTATTCAGAGTTATTTTTCTTCCTTTAAGTTTACCGTGACCAGATGACTGATGGTCCTAGCCCCACTTAACCCTCCACCTACTCAAGAATAATGGTGACCAGACCAAAATCACCTCTGTGCCCCATGCCTGGAAGTGAGAAGGACCCCTGCCCAGACCCTGGGTGGGGGGCAAATGGCAGGAAAGGGGCTGCCTTCCAAGCACCTCACCTTGCCACGTCTGCCCAGGAGGAGCCTCGAGGTCCTGCAGTTGCTGGCTTTGTCTCCTTGTGTCCACCTCTGACTCAGCAGCTCACCCCGGAACTCATTTTCTGAGGGGTCAGAAAAAGAAAACCTAATGAAGGCAGCTCAAGGGAGGGAGATGGAGAAACTTGGACCGCTCTTTTCCACAGGATTTGTGCAATCCCCCCTTTCTGGAATCCACCAGAAAGATGTGCAAGGTTGTGGCCCCATGGCTGTTCCAGGGACAAGGGACAGGAGCTCTCTATGGAAAACCAGTCTCTGATTGGGACGCTCCTCAGAGGCTCCTAGCACCCTGCACCCCTGCACCATCTTCCTGCCTCAGAGCGGGTGTGGTTTCCACTAACAGCCGCTCCAACAGGGGGCTGGTGCAAGTCAGGTGAGGTCGGCGGACACTTTGCCTCCCCTCTGCCCTGGTTCCTGCCATCTTTCCTCTCCCTGTTTCTGCCTCTCTCCGGGGCAATGTCTCCAGTTAATATTTAATTCTGCACATAAATTCACATGTCTAAGCAGAGGCTGAAGGCATCAGCTGGACATGACAAAGAAATGCCTATTCCCTGCATGGCACTCCCTGTTTCCATGACAACTAGCTTTCTACAACTGCAGCGTTTCAAAGGAAGGTCATTAAGTAACCAACAATAAAAACAGGAAATGAGTGTTCCTGCATTCTGCTCTCCGCTTCTCTTTAGAAGTGAGTTTGGATTCTGCTGAAGGTAGGTCAGCACAGTGCTGTCATGCCCATTATCTTTCTTCCCCTCATGCTTCTGACATGCACTCCAAATGCTGTTTTTCTAAAATTCCACCACTCCTGCCCCAGGCAGCCCTGTGGCTCCAGCCAGAGCATCCTCTTGTCTGAAAATGTCTCCATCCCATTAAAGGGCCTCCTGTGACCTCAAGGAGCACAAACACAGAAGGAAGCAGATTGGTTGTCAAGGAGATGGCCTAATGCAAGGTCTTCAAAGGAATGAGTAAAACCACCAGGATTTGACACCTACTGTGTGCACCTACTGTGTGCCTTCCTCTCACTGAGCTATGGGTCACCTGCAGGGGACCCTGTGAGGACTGGCCTCCACCAAGGAAGTGTGAGCAGTATGGTTCTTCCTAAGTGGGTGCCCAGCAGTCAACAGCATGCTCCAAATGGGACCAGGCACCCACTGGGTATTCACACTCCCAAACCTATGCTGGGAATGTGGGGGATTGCCCTGAACTCACAAGGAAGATGCTGCAAACAGTGTGAGGTTGGAAGACGAAGAATCCCACAGAGGTGGAAGGGAGGAAATTCAGGAGGTGAGCCAACAAAAATCACCCATCACACTGGACAGGGGGATGAGAGTTTCCCTTGCAACTCTGGTGACAGTGGAAGCTGGGAGACCCCAGGCAGCAAAGTACATGGGTTGACTTTCTACACATACCTCCCAGGAAGAACCCTGCACATGGGGCTGAGCTGCAAGGCCCAGGCGGAATTTCTTGTCATGGTAACACCTGTAAATCTATGAGGTAACTGGAGCACAGCTCACTAACAGCTGGAGGGAAGGACACAAGATCCTAAGATCTTGGCAGGAGCAGGACTGTTCCCGCCTCCTCACACCCCAGCGGGGTACCCTAGAAGCTGAGGGGGACAAGCTCTTTCTGCCCTCAGTCTCTTCTGCTCCCCAGGGAAGCCAGCCAAGGTGAGCTGCAAGTCTCTGTGAAGGCACCTCTGGTTTTCTGTGTGATACTCTCACCTGCCCCGGGAGGTCTGCAGGTAGAGCCTGTGGGAGCATGGCCCCGCATCAGCTCAGGCGAAGCACTGGGGCCTTCCAAACATCTGCTCCAGCATCGCCACCTCTAAACAGCAACTCCTGCCTCCTCTGGCCGAAGGAGCCTAACAGCACCCCAGTGATGCATTTAGTGCCGGGCCCCCGGGATGTAGAGCCAAGTGAAAGAAGGCACACACCCCATTTATGAGGTCCCAGCTTTACCTTAATGCAATTTCCTCCTTTTCCTGGGAAATTTTTGGCAGCAAACTATAGTCATTATTAGAAGCCCAGTGAATACTGGGTATTTACCCCAAAGATACAAAAGTAGGGATCCGAAAGGGTACGTGCACCCCAATGTTTATAGCAGCAATGTCCACAATAGCCAAACTGTGGAAAGAGTCAAGATGTCCATCGACAGATGAATGGATAAAGAAGATGTGGTATATATATACAATGGAATATTATGCAGCCATCAAAAGGAATGA